GAGCCCTCAGTGTCCGTGTTGTCGCTGCCGGTGGTCTCCTGGTCCGCCTCCCCCTGCCGCCAGCCTTTCTGCATCTTCCGGAGGGCGCGCTTCCTGCGAAGACACAGGTGTCTCAGGCGCAGACCCGGCTGCAGCTCCCCAGCCCGTTTTGGAGAAGCCTGGGGGCCGCCCGCCTACCTGCGGTAGTTCTCGAAACTCTCCTTGAGGCGCCGCCGCTCCTTCTCAGGCGGCTCCCCGCTGCTCAGGCCTGCGTCCTGGAGAAGGGGAAAGGCTTGGGCTCCGGCCGGCTCCCCTGAGGGCACCCTCCCTTCTCTCTCGCACCCCCCACTGGCCCCGGTAACTGCAGACTGGTGGGGAGGCGGGGAGCTCAGACAGCCGCAGCTCAGCGCCAGGCTCGCCGCGCTTGGGAGCTGCCTGTACCCGGGGAGTGAGCCGGTGTGGGTAGCCTGCATTTCAGATGCCAAGACACAGGCAGGAGGCCAAGCCACGCTCCTCTGGCCGTTGTTTCTACAACAAAGCCCGAGGTAGTCCTTGCTCTCAGGACTCCTGTGTTCACCTACTCAGGGTTGACGCCGCATCCACTGTAAAGTCCCCAAAGAAACCAGGACCAGGCACGTCCACCTCCAAGCCCCCCGAAGCTGCTGCAGTACCCAAGAAAAGAGGGGGATCCACTTCGCGTCCCAGACAACCGCACCCCAAGCACTGAGGGCAGAGACCTTGTGGTCACCCCTCAGCCGTCGTCGGGGCCACTGCAGGGGGTGCCTAGGGCGAGGAGCCACCCTCCCTGGGATCGGTCACCGTGAGGCCCACAGCTGGGGGGACCCCACCCTGAGGAAGCCTTACATGGGGGGTCCGCGAAAGCTGTTCCTGGTGCAGAGGTGCAAAGGGCTGTTCCGGGCTCCCCGCACCGGCCGGGCATCCTGGAAAGGAGAGTCGTGCCCGTGGGGACTGCCCACCTGCGGGGCCACATACAGCAAGGGTGCCCCACCCCTCCCCGGCACTGCGGACACCTTGTGGGCCTGGTGGGATCCCCACATGGGTCCAGTGTAGACTCTGCCTTCTGTGGAGGAGACTGAGGACTTATGGCCTCCCTTGCCCATTCATTGCTCCAGGATGCCGCCAGATGCCAGCCCAGGCCCAACGCTCCTGCCAGTGACCATCCCTCCCCCAAGCTGGCTGCCCCCCAGGCAGGAAGGCCTCCCAGACCTCAGGGGAGCTTAAACCCTGGCCTGAGCAGCACTGTCCCCCATCACTCCAAAGCATCTGTGGGCATGGCGGCCCTGGGGAGAGAGTTGGAAACAGCTACAGTGGCGGGGGCAGGGGTACTGCACAATTGGGAGAGAACCTTCAGGTGGCTAGACCCCCTCAGAACCCGCCAGGACCTGGGCAGACCAGGGGTCAGGACCCTTGGGCAGAAACCATGCATGTCCAGTCTCAGCCCTGCTGTGGGGAGGGCCAGGCCGGGGCTGTCCTGGCCATTGGCAACCCCTCCTTAGAGCCAGCCCCTCCCCTGCTCACCCTCGGACCTTCATGCCTGCCCCCACTCCTGCCACAGCCACCCAGGGAGATGGTGGCAGTGCCTGAGCTGGACTCCTGGGTCTGCTCGCCTCTGTGCCTACATGGGGGCTTGGCGTCCCCAAGTTCAAGTGTTCTGGGCTGTGGCCAAAGGTGCTGGTCTTCACTTCCTCATCTGCGGCTCCTCCTTCCCCTTCCGCCTCTGCTTGGAGGCCACAGCCTGGTGCTCAGGAAGCTCGTCCAATTCCCACGCAGCCTCCCAGGGCCCCTCTGCTGGGTCCTCCCTGACTCCCACCTGACACCACCTTCAGAGCAAACACCTACCTCATCACCACTATCTGCTTCTGGGCACTCGGGGGCTGCTCCCAGCCAGCCACCCCAGTTCTTCCCCCAGAGAGGCACAGGGGGCCTGCCCTGCCCGCTAGAAGCCCCCACCACTGCCTTACCCCCACTGCACCGGGACACAGCAGGCCCTTGGCCACCCCTGCATTCGGCCCTGTCCCTCAAGCCACGTGGGGCCCCGTCTCGCCCCACTTTCTAGCTTTGTACCCCTGGGCATTTGCTCATTACCACCTCTCTCTGCCCAGGAGGAAGCTTGGAGCAGCTGAGACAGTGGGCCTGCTCACCTCTGCACCCCGGGGGGCTGCCCAGAGGGGCCCCACACTCTCAGGACAGTGGGCCTGCTCACCTCTGCACCCCGGGGGGCTGCCCAGAGGGGCTCCACATTCTCCACCCCAGGGGACGCTTGTCCCACCAGCTGGGCCCTGGGTTCCACTGGGCTCTGTAGTTTGTTCTCTGGGTGACCTTGGCCATTTTACTTATCCCCAGCCCTAGTTTCCGTCTGTGGGGTGGGGGTTGTGGGGGCTGAGACAGGCATTGCGGCACGGGCTGCCTGTGCTGAAGATGGGCCTCGCTTGGGGCAGCCGGGAGGCCTCCGGGTGCACTGCCGTCCCCACCTTACCTTTGTCCGAGAGCTGGGTGTCCTCCAGGTCCTGGGGGAGCGAGAGCTTCCGAAGAGACGCAAGATGTCCCGTTAGGTCACCCCGCCAAGGACTGGACCCGGCCACACTGCCCACCCCAGCCCTTGGCCCTCAGCTGGGTGCGGCCGTTGCCATCACCCCCTGCACAGAGCTTCTCAGAGACTCAAGTGCTCAGCAGACAGATGTGGGGGAGGCCAGCCAGGAAGGTCCCGCCATGAGGATGCAGGAGCTGGGCACTGTCCATGCCTTGCCTTACCCCTTGAGCCGTCGGAGGCCTTAGCATTTGGCCACCTGCTCTTCCTCCACCGAGCCCAGCCCACTGAGCAGGGCCACGTGACGGGCAGTGTGGGGCTGTGCCTGGTGGTGGCTCAGCCAGGACCCCAGGTGAAGGAAGGCCAGCCTCGTGCCGGCTGGGGTCTCACTCACCTCTTGGGAGCTCCTGGGTGAGCCATCCTCCAGGTCGGAGCTCTGTGGTCATAGAAAACGGGGTGGGTGGGCTGTGGGGGCAGAGGGCTCCCCAGGCACGGGTGGGCAGGGCACAGAGCGGGATCCTCCAGGGAGCCCTGGGCATGCTCTTAGCCACGCCAGGCCCCCTCCACGCCCAGAGCAACATGCTAGGCTGCCTGATGGCCAGGCCCAGCACCCACCCCGGCCCTGCAGCCCCATTTCCTGCTGGGGCCCTGAGCTGCTCCTGTGCCCTCACCCCACTGCGAGGAGGGGTTCGGTTAGGTGGGGGCCCGTCACAGAGGAGGGTTGGGTCAGGAAGGCCCATGTTCCCCCGGCCCTGCGTCCCACCCGCTGGCTCCCCTCCCTGCCCCAGGTCCCAGGCCCACCAGCACGAGCGTCTCCAGCTGCTGCCGCCTGAGCCTGCCCTCCACGGCCAGTAGCTGCGCCTCACGCTGGAACACCTGCAGCTGCAGCTCATCTGCCTTCTCACCCAGCTCCCGCACCTGCTTGCGCAGTGCGTCCTTCTCCTGCAGGCCCCGGGCATGCTGCAGGTGCAGCTCCTCCCGTGTGGCGATGGCCTGATGGGACAGTGCAAGGCCGACCCTCAGTGAGGCCCCCAAGCTCGCCCTGGGCCCTCGGCCTGGCTGCCCAGCTCCGAGCAGAGGCCCCGGAGGACGTCAAGCCGCTGGGTATGGAGGCTGGCCACAGCCCCTCCCTTTATGTGCTCTGTGAACATGAAGTCAGCATCTGAGGGATTGTACAGGTGACAGTTGTCCCTGCTGCCCTTCTGTCTCCTCCCAAGCCTGCACCCCCGGTAGACACAGCGTGTGCTGTGCACTGGCCCCCCCCAACACACACACACGTGCACATTTGATAAATTTTGGATGCGGCTTGATATGGAGACCCTGACTGTCCATGGCTAAAACTCCTTCATGAGCGCAGCACTCTTCACCACCCCTGTCCCCACTGCGGATGCTGAGGTAGGTACAGGAGCGAACGTGCAAACACGACGGTGTGACCACCCCTGCAGCCGAGGCTGGGAGGCCCTCACCTAACCCCTGCCGCTGGACTGGAGCAATGGCTGGCAGCTTCCCTAATCCCTGGCCAACCTGCTCCCGCACAGCCCCGTGGGAGCCCTCGCCCTGGGAGCCACACCAACCCCCATGGGGGCACGACTGGATCTGCCCTTTTTTCCCCATCTTGGGGTGGGCCAGGCGCGAGTGAGGCTGTGGTGGGGCCGCGACGGGAGCTCTGAGCCTGTGCTGCTCTCATGGTGGCCAGGGCTTGCTTTATGGCCCCAGGGGTCTCGTTTTAAGGCTCCTGATGTGGACAAACTGCCATCCAGAATTTCGCCGAAGAAGCAGTGGTGTCCATTGGAGACAACCTCCAGGATGGGACTCGGGACGGGGCATAGGAAGCAGACACAGCCCTGCCCCGTGACGCTCTATCCGGCTCACAGCATGTAGCACTCGAGGCCTTGCAGGCCTCACTCCGGTGGCCCAGGCTGGAGTGCAGTAGCGCAATGGTGACTTGCTGCAGCCTCAGCCTCCTAAATAGCTGGGACCACAGGCATGCACCACCACGCCAATTTTTTTTTTTTTTTTTTTGAGTTGGAGTCTTGCTCTGTCACCCAGGCTAGAGTGCAGTAGTGTGATCTCAGCTCACTGCAACCTCTGCCTCCTGGGTTCAAGCGATTCTCCTGCCTC